ATATATATATATATATATTATATATATATATATATATATATATAGTGGAACCGAAAGTCAGTTTCATCCTGTAACTTTTCCTGTCCCTCTCTACCTTAAGGATGTGATCTTACATGTATTTATTTCAGGAACTATATGATGGAGATGATCCTCGGACGCCAAAACTTGGTTCAAATAACTTATCTAACAAGAGCGATGGATGGATTAACTGGGATGAATAAAAATTTGATCAATAACTTTCTTCATGTATATATTTCCGTTCCATTCATTGTCGTTCCTCACTTCCCTTCCCTTTCGATCATATTCCCTTTTACTTATTTTTAGTTAAAGCTCTGATCGGAAAATAAAAATTCTTATTCTCAATTGGTACTTTACTGGTTTGACTAAATTTTGTTATGTGCGAAGCAATGTTTCGTTACATCTTGTTTAAATACTTCAAGCTTGGTGGTTTGCAGTTTCAGCTGTTACTAAGATATACTGCTGCGGTAACTGTTAGTATGATGAGCCTCAATATCTGTTTTTGGGATCCTTTTTTTCATTTATATCACGGACGAAGGCGAATTCTTCAATTTTCTTTGTTCCTACCCACATATTTTCGTGAAACAACTTTCCTACTTTCCATTCTAATTTTATATAAGTAGCTTCAAGTACTTCTGCTGTTACATCGTCGGCGGACTGTTTTACTCTTTGTTTAAGTTTATGGTCATCATGGTTGCACTTTGCGACTGCACATTAGACTAGATCCTTTCTAAATTTATTTTATTACGAGATTCGTTTTAGCATAGGAAAATCCATCAAATAACATTTTTCTAATACTTTGTGATTCGTGGTTTTAAACGAAACATTAATGTTGTAATCATATGATATCAGACAGCTGTGTACTTTTAAGTAACTGATAATAAATGAGGATCAACTGACGTACTGGTCAATGACAAATTGTCGTCGCAAAAAGCTACTCGGGTCATGTTGGGGATGTGCACTGGAACTTCTTCGGACTTTAGAGACCTTGAATCATTTGCTTTCAGTAATCTTAAATTATTTCCTCCGAGTTCAGTAATGATCACGGGAATTTGGGATTCCGAACATTTGAATATCTAAAGGCCATGAAATATTTACGCATGGGATTAATCTCTGAAGTCGACAAGATTTCCTTGATCACATTTACATCAAACAATTGTAATCAAAACCAGTTTTTTTTCTTTATTCAAGACATGCACACCTTGTTCCGAAAGTAGTCTTCATACTCTGAACAAACAGATCAGCTACATTCTTCATAGCGTATCCTCTTTATATATGAACATCTGACGGTAACAATGTGTCTTTAAATTACGCTCATTGACCAGTAAGTAAACTGCCACAAGATCCAGATGCACAAAAAATGACCTTACTTCCAACATACGTTTACAAGTCGAGAAATCAAGCACAAGCACTCTAAGAATCAGAAAAACAGTTTTCTAAAATCTTGTATTGGTTCTAAAAATTTTCTGTCCTGAATATTAATCGCAAAAGGTGCAAGAGGATATTTCGACATTCTGACGAATGATGGGATGGATTCTGGTACTAAATGCGTTGTGATTAACAATTGATTCCATCTGTATTTAAAAATATATGTTTCAAAAAGGTAACAGCAAATGGAAAAACGACACAAAAAAAAAAAACTCAATACACGAGAGTTGTGTTTTCTCGATTCTTCAAAAAACGTACAGATTTTATCTTACTATTAGGTGGATTCTGAAACTGCAACTGCTGGATTTTTCAGCACAATGATAACGGAATCGCCGCGCAAGAACATTTTCGTGATAAAACGATCCTTCGCAACGGGCTTTGCTTTCTTCTTCCCTTTTCCCGTCTTTGGTAATTCTGTCCACATTTCTTTAACATTTTCCAGTACCATATTACAATGCCTGGAAAAGGTATAAATCAGTATTTAGTATTCCTTATAAACAAAACATTACAAGATTATACCATAGTTTACCTGTTTTGGTCTCTTATAAGAGACAAGTAGAGCACACACATGATAACAACAGAGTAAACTTATAACACTGTCCTCATCATGATTGTTAGCAAAGATGATAAGATCCGATCATAATGAATAATAATTGAAGAACCTATCGAAAGCCTTCACACGACCAAGCAATTTCTTGTTGTTTCTGCAGTTGATCAGGACTTGAGCATTATTCTTTACTGACTGCGTAAGCACAGAAAGTGGACCAACGTTGAATTCCTCCTGTTCTTTAGCTGCTAACTCTTCCTGAGTCATTTCAGATCGAGGCTTTGCTAACCTAAAATATTTGTACTGTATCTGTACTGTTTTTTCCACCATATCTACACTATCGTAGTGGATGATTAAAAAGTGAAACCAATAAAAGTTGAAACTTACGTGGCCATTTCCCTGAATGAAACGCAATATTGTCGGAATAAATTCCCAAAAATAAAACTGAAAACTAAGAACTGTACGGATAAACAGAATATTACATAATAAGCCGAAACAATGTCAATCTTGCGGTACACAATACGATCACTAATGAAGTGGAATGAAATGAGATAATGAACTATTCATTTCATTGGGATGAGAGCTAATAAAGTTTTTGTTTTTGCGCTCAGAGCGAGAAAAAGTACACTCATCATTTTCATCACTTTTGTAAACGTAGAATTACAAAAATAAAGTCGGACGTTCTTACAGTCAACTGTTCGTATTTTCAAGGCATAGGACTGTGGTCACAAGGATTACCAAGTGCTTCAACAAAACTAGCATAGCGGGTAAAAAACAATTATTGTCTTTCCCACATACACCACACAAAACTCCTCATCTAAGTTACAGAACCTTTTCCATATCCGCCATCTATATTAATTAACGTGAATTAATACTAACACAATATAAATTCAATTCAGAAAGAAATTTCATGGCTTATGCAAGTGGTGATCGTACCAATAGCATTATTGACAGGATTAATGGAAGTAAACCATCTGGAAGCGTATCAAAGAAGTGCTCTTAATGAAGCCTTCCCAGATAAAATGTAAAATTTACAACAGCTACAAGAGAGATTTCTCTCGATCTTCGTGGCAACATTTGAACTATTACTTCCTACACCAGAACTACTTGAGAAAAAATGTTGTGTCAGGCTCAGAAAATTTACGAAATTCAGTGAAATAAAAGCACAAACAACTTATCGCACTCTACTGCCTTTTCTAATCATCCCTCAACCTGCCTTCATCGACAAACATTGCTAGAAGCCGAAACATCGGTTTGGAATACTGTTCCGGGTATAACGGGCCGCTAGAAGGTCGTGATTATTAAGCACTTGCTATCTGTGAAAACCGTGTCTCACTGGAGTGTTTTAGGTTTAACGACATTCATTTGGATAGGATGAGCTGCTTAGGATAGTGCTGATTCAGTGGGGGATGAGGAGAGGAAGGAGGAGGTCACGAGGTTGGAACGACGCTTGAGTTTACAGTAATAACGGCTCTCATGTAATTATTATTAGTGATAATCATGATATTATTCACTATTGAATATTAGTATTTAGTATTCATTAGTAAATGATATCATTTGGGGGATTGTTAGGCATTACTTTCCCTAAAACATTTTTTTACCTTGTCCATACTGATGTGTTGAATGTTTTGATCGAGCATTATTGGAATTATGGACGGTTCTCTGATACGTTACTCCAATACCTGCAAAGTTTCTTGTGAGTAAGGGTTTGATTTTTGCTCAATGCGACAGCCGTCATGCAGGAATACTTCAGGTTTATATGGTGGCTACTAAGCATCAGAAGGAGGATGTTGTACTGGCATCCTTTGCAACTCTGTCTATTCTACAATTAGTCAAGGATGCGCAGCAGAAGCATGGATTACGTCATGGAGATTACCAAAGATATCGGTTTATTTTGTGACTTATTTTATCAACTAAGTTAAGTAGAACCTCGTGCTACTAATTCTTAGCGTAAACAACTCAAAGTGTGGGACGTTTTTAGATGGAAATCAGTATTTTCTCTGCATTATTTAGCATATCTGTGTTTGTTTGTCTGGTGATACTTCTACAGTAACACCTTACATTATGCTGCCAAAATCAAACTTCTTCTAGAAGCTCTGCAAATTGACTTTGTTAGTTTCAGTGGTTACTGTGCACGTCGAGTTCGAAGGATTCGAAAATCACTTGGGTTTACCCATATACATAAGGGAGTTTCAAAACACACTGCAAAGTTCATCCCAAGAAAACTAGCATTTGATATTATTACTGAAGAAAGGTATGATATAGTTTTTGCACATTTCCTAAGAATTATTTACGTAATGATGAAAATACATTATGGTAAATATAAAGTCGAAATTAGGTTTCTACAAATAGCAGTTTTCGATGCCGAAAGAAACTGGTCATATGCAATTCAACTAAAACAAGAGGCTGGTGAAGATATGCATTCAAGAAAACGTTTTCATATGATCGGAAAACTACGAAGAGCGGTGAAACATGCATCGAGTCTCGAAAGTATCATCAAAAGTTGTGAGCGTGTTCGTTTTTTATGTTTCGAAATGTTTTCTTCTATACTTTTTTTCTGGCAAAACGAGAATAGAATAAAATGGTACAAAATGGAGTAACTTCATGGAATTGTTATAAAAGATAATAAGAAATGGTGTAATATTCAAGGTAGACGCAGTAACGAGATTAGAATCCCAGGCATATAATTCATGGATGCATGGTTGTCTTCGTTTTGAACTAAAGGAGTGGAAAGGAGCCCTAGAATGTTTCAGAACTACCAAGTAATAATCTTTTCGTAATAAATTTCAGGAACTTACTCTTTTTAGAGATGGTTTATTTTTTATTTTCCATGGTTATTAACGGATCTCGTTCACTTTTAACTGGATTCTTTTGATTGAATTACCAAGTATCAAATTCCCAAAGTTAATTTTGGCTTAACATGGTTGTTAAGCTATCATTGTTTCAGAAAAATATATGAAAAACTTGCTACAGTTGTGAAGCTGCCTGATTTGGTGGAACTTTACAAAGTGAGGTGAGCTTTTTTGAATATGTATCGAAATCAGTTTAATATGGAAAGATCAAATCACAATTATTTTCATTTTTCTTATAGTTGTTTCGTAGGTGTCGAGAAATACAACCACAGATGCGCTATTGTGAGTTCAACTGCGGTGACGATGCAAGCTGTGATGCTGCAATGTCTGAAATGATCAATATGAGGCTACAGCTGAGTGAGGAAGAGGGTGTTTTGCAGGAAGACTTTGATGTTAGTTTGAAATTCGTTTATCTCAAGAATCTTCCATATTCGAAAGCAATAAGCATTTCACAAGCCAATTTTTTTTTGACTTACCTTATTCATATAGCTAGATGTTTCCAGAAATTAATAGCGGAACTACGTACGAAAGCTGTCGTGCATTATATAAAGGATATTGAGTGGGGTAATGAAAAAGTTTCTGTGACGAATGATAATGTCAAAAATCTTCTACAAGCTCTTGAGCAGTTTGATCACGAACTTGCGCAAACAACAATACATGAAGATAAGGTTATTTTTTGTTCTGTAATGTTCATTATTTATTACTTAGTAATGCTTAAATTATATAAATTAACATTACTTCATATAAATAGTTTGAAGATGACTGATATAAACATAGTTTGAAATTATTTGTTGCTAAATGTGAGATGTTCTTGGTTGTTGCTGGGTAGCTTTTTGCTTCTTTTTCTACTGGGAGTACTGGAATTATGTGATGTCCCGTTATTAAGCAGTAGTATGTTTTAGTTTTACTAATAATAAAAACTACCTGTTACTTTCATCATATAGTCCCAATTATGGGGATTCATTAAGTAGACGAAAAATTGTCACCGCATCACATTCCTTTATGATCAAAGATATGTTCTGTTTATGTAGTTTAATGTGTTTTTTGCTTGCCTGTATGCTTGTTATAATTAATGTATTTGTGGGTATATTAGATACATGTGTATTTAAATTATTTCTAGAAAATATATATTCACAAATAATAGATTGGATATATGCAGCCCAAAAAATCTTTCAGATGACTCTTTATGAACAGTTGTTAAGCAATATCCGCGATGTAATTCAAACATTAAATGAGGAACAAAAGAAATTAGTTGATAGTAGAACTCACATTGATGGTGCACAATCTCCGAATCGGCTAACCATTATTTATCTGGAATTTATGCGCCTCAAAAGAACTATTGAACGTTACATCATGATTATTGCACATACCAAGTAATATGGTTCAAGTCGAAATTTTTTGAAAAATTCTGTTTGTCTTGTAAGATCTCTCGGCTAACTAAAACACAATACTCCATTCATTCATCACTTGTATGATTATGCTTTAGCGATGTCTCATTAAGGTCAGATTTTTCAGTGTAACATTTTCTTTTTTAAAGTGGTTGTTGACTTCTTGTTTTCTGCGAAAAGTTGAGTAGTATTTTTGTAACAACTACCGGTTTTTTTTTTTTTCAGGACACAGGCGGAAAAGAAAATCAAACCACAAGATCTGATTCGTTTATGTGACACAGTGATTGAGAATAGTTGTGAAATTTTGGAATTACCGGGTGTTGTAACAAATAAAGATTTGGAATTAGCATACAAAGTGAAAGCAGAGTATTATCGCGCACTCAGGTTTCTTTATTTTCATTATTTTCATTTTTTATTACAATTCAAATGGGACTTAGCTTTATTTGTTCGATTTCGATAGAATGTTGCTTATTCACGTCACTTCTTTTTTTACCTCCGATTCATCATTTCTGTATTGTGTTCTCCAAACTGTTGCTTTTAAGAAAATCTACATAACTTTATTTTTTTTAAAAAAAAACTTTATTCAAGGTGATGGTAGTTTGTATTTCTTCCAATCGTACTCGTTTTCAGATAAAACATGTGTTTCTTTCTTAAAAAGAGACAGTTTTTCGAATATTTAGGTTTTTTTTTAAGAAGATGAGGCTTGGATTAGCCACCTCCATGCGATATTATCTTCTTTTTTTTTCATATAGATGTTTTTGTTTGGCTGAGGCACATGCAGCTTTAGCAAAGTGGAATGAAGCTAATGTTTTATATGACCGAGCTGTGGAACGGACCTCGTACACTTCGATGCTACTGAAAAATGCGGAAGGAAATCCTTTCATCGTGGAAAAAGAGGTCATTATTACCTTTTTATAATACCTCAGTTTAGAAATTCTTGCCGAGGCAGTTCTTTCTAACTTGCTCTGATATAGTGAATTGTGATTGCTCGATTTAAGGATGATTTGAAGAACTTGCATGAACAAATAACTGCATCAAAATTTGCTACGCAAGCAAATCGTCTTGTTGAAGCTGCAGGTGACAACAAATGTGATACAAAGCAGGAAATTGTCGATAACAGGGTGCAATTTTTGTTGGATTTAGATGAACTAGTATCTTGATTTAGATAAACTAGTTTAATTTTTTAGATGGACCAGTTTAACTTGATTTTTTGTTGCCTACCGTCAGGCAGTTTTCGGTGTCGATGGTTATATTAACACACTGAACCATGAGTCCACTGCTTTGTATGGTTTCTTTTGGTTAACTTTGCAATACTTTATACTTCAGAAAGGTTTTCTGTGTGAGAAAAATTGTAAACTAATTTACAATTAATAAATGTCATTAATGTACCTTTTATCACATGTTTTAGCCTCTCGTCGATACTCTGGACGCATTCCGTAAAATTACACTCAAAGACTTACATAAAACCGAGCAAAGTATTCGCATAATACCAGTGCCTCCTTCATTCATTCCTATGCCGAATAAACCCATGTTCTTTGACTTAGCCTTGAATCATATAAAGGTCAGTATTTGTCCTTATTATTTGTAACATTGTTAATGATATTAAAAAAACCGTTAAATCTTCACTGAATTTCTATTAATTTTTGTTGAACTATTGATTGACAAATTTTTGTTGAACTATTGGTTGATAACTGTTAATAGCTAACAATATCTTCCGAGAAAAGGACATGTTTCCAGATGCCGGATTTGGAGTCTAAGATCGCTTCTTATGCATTCGATAAGAAGGAAACATCGCAACGCAATGAAAGACCGGAAAAAGAAGCCAAATCAAAGCAGGGTGAACAAGATGCGAATCAGCAAGGAATTGGGGGTCTGGTAAAAGGATGGTTTTGGCGGAAATGAATAATTTCACTGCATTTTTAGTTGTAAAACGAAAATATGATTTGTGCACTTAATGATTAAAGCAAAAAATTACTGAGAGATTTTTCCGTTGGTTGGTTCAACACAAATTCATTTTCATTTTCAGTAAGTGTGTAGATAAGACCAAACCACTGAAGCTTTTAGTTTTTTGAAATTTAGTGTCATGTTTTTTCGTTGCACATTTTGGAAAACATGATCTACACATCTCTTTTATAAAATGCTGCAACAAATTTGAAGAATTATATTTATGTATAATGTCTGTCGACGAATATATGTGTAAGGCTATATTGCTGGATTGATCAAAAAAGAACTTGTAATTTGAGTTTCACTCCAAACTCGAACTGCTTAGTGGTGAAAGCTCTCATTTGTAATTTTGTTATCAGTTGTCTTCCGTCTCATGTTAAGGAAAGTTTGAGAGAAGGGCATGTGATATTTCGATTCTGTATTGGTGTTATTTTTTACACAATCGCTACAGCAGTTTTTCTAGTTTTATAGCTATGTTTAAAATATCTTTTTCGTGAGAATACGTTAGATACTAGTTGTTTTAATAACTAAAAGCTCCTGCATTGCTGACATCGTTTTTTGAAAGTTATATGCATTTTGAATGTATAATACCTTACGGTTTAAATGAATATAGGTATTCTTTAGTGTTTTGCTGGCGATATGTTCTCTTTGCATTAGAATCTATAACGGTTTCGGTGATAGTCCAACTATGTTATGATTTGCAAAAAAAATGTTTTTTTAGCACTCGAGTTTCTTCCTGAATTTTTTTCAAATATTGAGATTCGTTGCTTTATTAATTTATTAGCTGTTTTTGTGTAAGAAATACTTCTCTGTATTTCTGCCGATTGTACTTTTACATCTGTTGATGAATTCTCTGCTATGTTTAAAAATTGCTTTTTTGAAGTTTCACTGAAATAAATGGCTGGTGAGAAAATAACAACACAGTTCTCTCTTAAGTTCGCTGATCTCACTTATCTGTGCTAATTTTTTTTCATTTCATCTATCATTTTCAAGTGATTGTTGAGTTCTTTAACTTTTTTGTTACTTCTGGATAAGTTGTCAATAATCTGGTATTAGTTGCCCTGCCTGTTTAGGATGGGTTGAGTGCAGTGTGGAGACACTATTAATTTGATTTTCTGTGAAAGTAATATAATTGATTAATGTCTTTCAGTAATGGTAGAAACTGCTGAAGGAGCTAGACAGCATGGACCGAATCCTGCTGGACGTCTTTATGTTAAAGCCGTATTTACTGGTTACAAGCGTTCACAGCGAAATCAGCACGAGCATACAGCGCTGCTGAAGCTGGATGGTGTTTATAATAAGAATGACGCTCAGTGGTACGTAGGTAAACGTGCACTTTACGTTTATAAGGCGCGTAGCAAAATCAGGGTAAGTGCATTCACTGCGTGATTTTTTTGATTAAGTCTGGATATCTCGACATCAATAAAAACAAAAACCGAATAAAAACAGCTGGAAATAATAAAACAGGCTCAGTTTCATTGTTCAGTTCGATGTCATTCCTTCCATGGAGAAAGGAAGAAGGAAGATGAGATTTCATAAGATTTCATACATAATGGCTTATATTAAACATTGCCATATTTACTTATATTAAACATTTTTTTCGTGTCGTCTCATTTTGACGCGTTCTCCCCGTCCACGATGTTTTTTATATGAATGATGATCCATCCACTCTGCTCGCTATGCTTCATCTGAATATGTCGTTGAGTATCTTTTTGTACTGGTTTCACAGACCTGTTTTGCCATATTTACATCGTTGATTCTAGCCAAACTAACTAGTAAATTTTGCATTCCAGTCAGCAAACAAAGAACCGAGTCGAGTTCGTGCTATATGGGGGAAGTTGACACGCGTGCACGGTAATGGTGGCGCATTGCGAGCTAAATTTCATCGTAATCTTCCACCCCAAGCGATGGGAAAACGTATCAGAATAATGCTCTATCCTTCGAATATATGAACTGTGGTTTTGTTATTCAATTGGCATTAATTTGTAAGCACATGTTGATATAAATGTTATGTTTTCTTGCAACCACATTAAGCAGTTAATTTTGGCTTGGATTGGTTCTTTTGCAAACGACCTTACTAACCACAATCGGATGTTGTGGTCTACATTCCTTTGGGATTATGACAGAAGGTCGAATATCATCGTACATACGCCATTGCTTGTAAGTGATGTAGTATTAAGAGTTAGCCTTTAGGCTATCTGCTACTGATATTATGAATTGCGTTGCTCTAAATGATTTATTCTCGGCGAAGGTGTTTTGGTTAGACTTTGCCACGCATAGTCTTCTTCAACCAATGAGGGGGTCGTTATTTTCCTGTATTATTGCGTCGTGGGACTCAGCTGTGGGCCGTGTTTTATTTTGCGCTTTGAGGTATGCGAGCGGCTTGACGTGTAGGAGCGAGAATTAGGAGTATTGTGGCTCTCGCCCGTTAGTTGATGGTACCAGGGTGAGTTTGAAGTATGCGCAAGATTTGGCAGCGAAGGTGTTGATGTGATAGGACTCCTGAGGTCTTCGGAAGAGTCATCGCTTCGTGAAGAAGAGTGACAGGAGGTCATCACAGTAACAATAGGTTAAAGTTGCTTGTTGGCTGGCTGGACAGTTGCGATGTGATGTATATTCAAAGATTCCGCGGAACCTTCATCAAAGGTACTGTGGAATCTCAAAATCGCTGTATTTTGGTCTGCTGTTATCACTCTTTCCATCCATTGGAATACCTGACATTTCCATCATAGTCTTATGGTTATATTGACTGAGGATTCCACGCGATATAAACGATCTTTTTGTTTGCTCATTTGTAGTCATTTAATTTCAGGCTTTTGTTTTGCACAGTTTAATAGAGTTTAATAGAAACAGTTTAATAGAAAATTAGGATTCAAAAATGGCAATGTTTGGCATGGATAACGAAAAGAAAACACTGCTTGTTCAGGAAGTATATCGAAGACCGCTTATTTGGAAAGTAAGTTTAAGTCAGGAATTTAGTTGCATCTTTGTTAGCACTTTTGAAAATTTATGGAGTTTTCGTTTGCCATATCTTGAGAGCTCCAAAGAATATAGGCGACGGTTGTACGTTTTCAGGTTACTGACCCTCGATATAGCGATATTCCTGCTCGTTGGCTTGCTTTTGAGGAAATAGCCCACGAACTGAGCGATGATGATTTAGTTTTCACCAGTTAGTTGTTTGGATTGTTTCAAATATTGATTTGTTATTTAATAAGTTTTTTAGTCATACTATAAGGGAATTATTATTATTATTTCAAATGTCTTTAGCACTGAGATCAACGGTAGCCCGATATGAAATTGCTGTGTTATGATGAGCTGATATTCTAAGAAGTGATGTACGAGTGTTCGCGCTTTGAACTTTTTTTGCTCATACAGGGATAGGGTCATGAAATTGGTTGGAGAAAGGTCTGAGTATGGCCACTTCCAACGAATTCCTCAAAAATTAAGCCGTTTTTCAAGGATGTTTGGGATCTTGATAACTAGACGCTCAACGGTGACTGGAAACGTGCTTATGAATAAGAATCTCAATCTTTAAAATGGAACCATAGTTCTTGCAACAAGCCTTACTGAAAGGAAACAGCGGCAAAATGAAACATTAGAAGTAATCATTTCTAAATTAAACCAGCGATCTGTAAACCATGCAATACTCGTATATCTTTCTTACGATATTTACTAACGCTCCTTCCAGGTGATATGATCAAGGTAGCTTGGAAGAACATGATGGATTACTATAATCAGATACGCCGTAGACATGATCGAGCGATTGCTGCCGGTTTTGATCCACCGGATTCAAAGTGGCAATTCTTTAACCTGATGCATTTTACGAGGCAGGATAAACCACCCGTGAAGAGAAGATACAATTGGATGCAACCGTCAAAAGTTTTCCATTCTTCGTAGTTCCTCATCTTTCTATAAGGAGTTTTGTCCTATTCTAAGAAACAAGTTCAGATAGCGGAATTACTGAGGTTTACAGCCAGTAGTGTTCGAAATAATTTTGATGGATGACGTTGAGGAGATTAGGATTCTCTGATTTTTATTTGCAGTATTATTGTAACATATTCATTGTTTGTGCATGCAGTATGAATAACAGGACTGTTATAATTAATGAAGAAACGAATTTTTAGATTCCACGTACTGGTGAGTCACTTGTTGCTCAGGATGATGAAGTTTTGGTTAGTATTCATTATTCCTATATTTATTTTTGCAGTATATTTTAGCTGTTTGATTTATCAGGATAATATCAAGTATAATTTCTTTCTAAACGATTTAATCAGATTCAAATGCGTAGCAACTATGAAGCTGCTTTTGTCAATAATGGCATGATTACGAAAGAAGAAGCTCAGCGTGTGATATGTGTTACACCAAGAACAAAGGAATCTGAGAAGTTTGTCTTTCACTCAGGAAAACGTGTTTTCCTCAACTTTTTAAAATACTACTGAAATGATCTGCTTTATCATAATATACAATGAAAGTAGAGTTGGAATCCCTATCTTACATGGCTTGCAAGAAATATTTTAGAGCACGTTTGAGGGCAAAACGTGAAGCTTTGCGTGATGCAAATGTGGTGCAATCAACAGCTTCACCAGTGGCTAATGGTACTTTTGTTGGAACTCGTAGTGGGAATAAGATTTCGTATAATCGTACAAGAGCTGCTGCACGTGCAAAACTTGAAGCCACCCTAACGGAAACAGTTGAAAGTGATTCGGACCGTATGGAGCCAGGTGAATCTCAGGAGACAAGAGAGCATATGTTGACGACTCGTCGTCGCGGAAGACATCGAAGAGATATCTATTCTCCCGAACCAAGTGGTGTCGTGCTGCCGCCGAAATATCGTTGTGGAATTTCTGCAGCAAGGTCCTCGAATACCTCGTTCAAGAAAATAAATGGAATGCAAAAACCGCAAGCTGCCGAACATTTGCCAACGAAACAGGCAGTGGGTGATGTCGACTCTTCGCTTACTTTCGGTAATTACTTTATTTATGTTTTCGTTTCTCCATTAGTCAGACTTTGTAGCAATATTTACCCATAGTCGTGAAAGTCTGGATACTGTAAAGTCTTAGTGGGAAAGTTTGGTTAGTTTCACTTCAAGCATCAGAAATTTTACTTTTACTTTTTAAAAGATATATCTGCTATATGAAATTTTGTGAAATATACAGAATTAGGCATACTTATTATGAACTTAATACTTGAATTTTTTTTATAAGTGACAACAGTATGGTTTTATTTGTTTAATTTGTTTTAATATCCTCATAGCTTTGGATACACATGTCTGTTAAGTATTGCTACATCTTAAACCCTTTCAGCCGAGCATGTTGCGACGAGATTATTCAAAATCAAAGAGAAATCTTTAGCTGATTATTATCGCATTTGTGATACGGTAGAAAAATTATTGGATGATGCGGAAACAGCATTGGATATTGTGGATACTGATATTATGCTCAGTGATTAAGCTTTTATTTGGTCAAGCACTTACTTTCATCATTGTTTGATATTTCGTCGATCCTGTCTTTACTTTTGACAATGAGGAATCTTTTGATTTACCAAAGAATCAAATTCACTTTTAAAGATATTGTTGCTTTCTGTTTCGTATCTTACTTTGATTTTTGGAGTTTTTCTTTCCAAAAAGTAGGATTTCAAAAATTTCCAGAGCTATCGCCCAACGTTGTCTTTGTGAAATATGGTAAATTTTCGAACTATCTAGGATTTCAGTTCTTTGTTTGTTACTCGAAAACCTTCAGTTAATAATTTTTCGGCAAAAGTTTGTGGAAAATATGAGCACCATTATCTTCTGAATTTTTTAGACTTGATTAGTGCTTCTCCATTTGTGAATGATTTACGTTTTCATCATTTGCGTTGTTTTTCAAAATTGTTTTGTTTTTCGATAATTTTATCATGTTCTTTATTGTTTCTTACTCATTGGTGTTTATTTTGTAGCTCTTATAAATAGAATTGTTCCAAATATTGTAAATCTTTTTCTGATTCAAATTTCGCAATGCAGTGGTATTAGCAAGAAGGTTTTTTTTGCTGATTTGAGTTGTTCCATGCATTTGTTCCGGTTTGCATAAATTATGAAAAAGTGTACAGAAAAGGGTACGGTATGTTGTGTCGTTCAAAAATATTTTGAGCACATAATCCGTGGGTAAAATTATTATAAATTTGTACATGAAGCTGGATGGATTCTAAGATTTCGCAGTCAAATAATCGTTATGATCTGATGATTCTACAGTATGCATACGTACACTTGATTTTTCATTACAGCTCTGAAATTCAAATGAGGCGAGGAGGAAAAGCTCTTTTTGGTTAAATTTAACAGATTGAGACGATCGGGTTTAGTTTGGTTTTTTTATTATGGCTGTTGTAAAATATTGGACTCAAATTTGGTTGGTGTTGTTATTTGGGAAGGTACTTCTACCATTCATAAGATTGGTGAGGAAAGGGAAGAAATTCGTCTGGATAATTAAGTATTATGTACGGTTGGAGGTGAACCACCTAAACATTGTGATTTTCATTAGGCTATGGTTTTTTTTAAAATCTCATTACATAAACCTTTTCGAGGCCGTCAGGGCAGTGTTCATCATGAAGGATAGTGCAAATCCTTCGCTCACGTAAAATACATACCTCTTTTAAAAGGCACACATACTAAGTTTGATTCTGTATAAAACACTAAGTTTACTGTCGACAGCCAATAATTATTTCAGATTTTGCCGAAAATTTCTTCTCTTTTTTGATTAATATTTCAGAAGTAAAGTTTTCATAAAGAATATTAGAAGCCACAAAAAGGGCTGATATGAAATCTTGTGTTAACAACAATTATACATTCATAGAAATATATTCGTCTTCGTGGTTAGGCTTCGCGAAAATATGTGATGAGCTATACCCACGCTTGCTGTAGCGCGCTGATGGCTGAGAAGGCCAGTGCTGGATAGACAAGTTCGAATGCAAAAGGCACAGTGGAAGGTCTGCTTAAGCGGTATTGATGAGGTACGGTTTTTTCTGCGTTGTCGTTTGTCCTCGAGGGTGGTTCTGCAGTGTTCTTGAAGGAAGCAGCAACGTTATGGGTGATGTGTCTCCAAGCTCCCCGATTCAAAGCATGAAGACACATAATTCGAAGCTAGAGTGGTTCACTCTAGCTTCAAAATTTGATGGTAGTTCATATGGCCAGGCTGAAGTATTGTTTGAGGGCGTCCCTTTATCTCCTTTATGAGGCTCCTCTTTCGCGGAAACCGGTGGCCGATTCGCCATAAAGCACAATTTTAGGAAGGCTGTGATCTCCATTCTGGTGGCGTGTCTAGCCTAGCGCAACTGTGCCTTCAGTAGTATGACCTCAATACTGGTGACCCTTACCTGAGTAAGGGCAAGGGTGTAAGAAGAACAGTAACGTTGGTTACGTAGTTAAACTAATGATTATTAAGGATTGTACGGAAGCTTTCAGGATTAAAAAGTGTTTGTTTGACTGATATTTCTTCCAAAACAAACAAGTAACGAAAAATTACGAAGAAATTCAATTCGCATAGGATTTTGAAAATTAATATTATGAAACTTTAATAGAGAAATCTTCTCGAAGGCCATTTTATCATTAGCAGTTACTTTTGAAAACTAATCAATTGAAGGATTGTCATTTAACACTGCAGAGTGCCATAGTACGATAATTAGATGATGACTTTTAACAAAAGCTATACAGAAATTTCAAATAATTGTTACTGTTTTCAGGTGTGGGAAAGGTTTCGTCTCTTAAATACATTAGAAATTCTCAAACTTCAATGCAGTGTCAGTGACGAATACTTGAACAAGCATGACTTTGGAACAAAAATTTACTTTCACTGATTTCAACATGAACAAGTAGTTATTGCATTTGCAAAAGGAGTGATGAAATTTGAGCTACATTTCAGAAATCTCTATTTCGGAATAAACACAATTACATAACTATTAACTCATGCAATGTAAAAAAAATTCCACACAGAATGCCACCACCAAAAAGTTTCAAGTGTCACCATAAAAATGGTGAGCTTTCGTTTTTAAGGTGAAAATTGGTATCGTTTTTATGTATAACCTTTACTCTCTATCTGCTTATAATTATTTGTTTTTTAAATCTTTTTCATCCAGGGCATAAAAAATTAAATTACTCATTTGCCCGATCATTTGATTCAGTTAAATTCTTATATAGATAAAAACGAATTGTTTATGCATTAGTTGTAAATGAATTAATTTAATAGGTGAGAAATGCTTATCAGAGTTCTCATTATGAATACTTTCATATCTAAGTTTGAAACTCAAGTTGAGCCTTGTGGAACATTGAATTATAATACTTGTTGTGTTAATGCTCTGTAAGCATCAATTAACATTATTCACATTAAAATCGAAAATTTCCAAAAAAAAAAAATGTAAAATAGAGTAAATTTCAATCCAATTTGTGTTCAATCAAAATAGCGTTATTTTGTGCTCATCAAATAAAATTTCACTTTTTACTGTAACCAAATGAGTCCATTACATCACAACAGCAATAAATCACAGAGGTGTTTGACAGTTATCACTTATATTATAATACAGTACGGAAAAATCAAAATTTGAACTGTTTAAATTATTACTGACCAAACATTATTTCATTATAAAACATTATTGCTCAGGATTTAAAAGTTATTCTTTCTACTTGAATCCGTATATACCTAACCTTACAAATAATATAAATTTATCCTTCTTTAGATATTGGAAGAAGAATGAAAAATAGAACGGGGATAACAACTTCTTCTTTTCCTCATTTTCCAATAAAAATTTTTTGAAATAAAAGGACATTTTTTCCTTTAATACATTAAATTTTCACTTAACTCAGAGAAAGGAACAAGGAGAAAAAACAACCAAACATTAGTGCTGTGATCATAGATTCTACCTTACAAAACATGACTATATAAGCTGCTGTTAGTGAGCATAAGTTAAATTTCTTTTGCCTTTCCCTTTACTTCTTAATTCATAATTCGAAAATAAAAAAGTTATTTCATTTGAAGTTCTCATACAGAACATCAAACCTAAAGCATATTTCACAGATCAAATTTTGTTATGATCGTATCGTTTTACAATACGTAGATCTATGTACAATATTGGTCAGTGAAATGAAGACTGTAATTTCGAAGTTTATTTGGAAAGTTCATATTGTTGGGAAATTGTTTTTCTGTTGAACTCGTTTCTCGGCGATACAGATTTATTCGGGATGTAATATTGTTCTTGCACAATATTATTAGTTAACAACAAGAAAAAGGATATAAATATGTATATTACACGATGAATTGGTAAGCAATGATGAATGAGTTATACAAAAAGCAAATGATATGATCAATTAACAAACTCCTTGTCGTTGCCTCGGACAGTAATTTGACTGTCGGTTAGTTGATAGGTCGTTGAGTTGGGAATATGTTACGGGAAATGTATTTAGCGGATAGAAGAATATCGTAGTTTATTGTCCAATGGTGGCGGATATGGGAAGTTGTTGTCGTTTGTGATTCAGTCGTGGAAAATAAGCAAAGAGGATCTATCGTCTGCTCGGTTGTAAAAAAAAAAAACTGTCTTTATGTATATAAGAATTAAAGAGGAGTTTTGTAAGCTCCATTGGGGCTGTCGTGAAGGTATGACTAGCCTTTGACATTGTCTATTGTGTAGATATTGAGACGTTTTGTTTTACACTGTCCATTGTTAGCTTATATCCTTTCATTGTTTCAAATTTATTTACAAGATTTCGTCACCCTGTTTGTTGGATATTGTGGAAATTTTGCTTGAAAGTAGCTTTAATTTCGGTAATCCGACAGAAAATTTGCATTATGATTTTCGGAATTTTTCTTGACACATATGCTTGGCTTCTGT